GAGCTCGGCGAGGACAATGTTTAGCAAGCTCAGCGTACTCCCGTCCCAACCCAGACACTGTCAACATCTGAGGATTCTTTCCTCGCTGTTTCCGTGACCCTCCGTGGTGACGTCACTTACGTGTTCACTTTTTAAAAACCAGCATCATCTGTGAGGATCTGAACATCTTGTTTAATAAACTACGCTTTCTTTTCTCTTAGGAGCATGTTATGGTTTGGGGGCGCCTGGGGGGCTCAGTCGGTTAAGCTGACTGACTTCGGCTCAGGTCACGATATCCCGGTTCGCGGGTTCGAGCCCCGCGTCGGGCTCTGCGCTGACAGCTCGGAGCTTGGAGCCTGTTTCGGATTCTGTGTCTCCCTCTCTCTGCCCCTCCCCTAGCTCACGCGCTCTCTCTCTCTCTCTCAAAAATAAATACACATTAAAAAAATTAAAAAAAATATATATATATATATATAAAGAAATGTCTGTAAGAAACATGCCTGTATGTATTTAGTTTCCTCTACTCTTGTATTTATTCCTTTTTAAGTAATCTCCAGGTCCAACGTGGGGCTCGAACTCAACACCCCGAGATCAAGAGTCACGCCCACCGGCTGCTCTTGTAATTTAGCAACAGAAATTCTACAGAAGCGAAGATAAAGCGTGGTAAAAACAGAGGTGCGGGCCACACGGGGCGGGACCAAGAACGGTGCCACCGTTACGTTCGGGTGGCAGCCTGCGGATCATTTTCTTTCTAAAATGAAACCTTTGTAAAAACACTTGGGCACCGCAGAGTAAAATAAGGAAGAGCGCATCGGAAAATATCAACGAGACAAAGACACAGTTGGCCCGTGTGAGATACTCCGCACCCGTTTCTTGGTCGACGCCCCCTCCGGTTGTTTGAACCCGCGTGTTTACCGGCCTGTCACCATGTCACCAGCACGGCTTGGTGTCCCGTGCTTTATCGCACGGCCGCAGACGCCTGTGTGGATTCGTGGCCAGGTTGCAGCCGTCTGAAGCCTTCCTTGGGCCTGACGCACAGCCGGGCTGTGTGACACGTGTTCAGAGTGGCTGGTGACTGCTTAGATCCCGTTTCTCTGCTCAAGGGGCCAAGACCCTCCTGCTGTCTCGTTCCTGGGAGTGAGGATGGGAGAAAGGGCCGGGTGGACCTGATGAAGGCGGACCCAAGCTTTTTCTATGTTTACTTTTTATTTTATTTTTAAAGTTTATTTATTTTGAGGGAGGCAGAGGGAGACAGAGAGACAGGGAGAGAGAGAACGAGTGGGGCAGGGGCAGAGAGAGAGGGAGAGAGAGAATCCCAAGCAGGCTCTGCACTGTCAGTGTAGAGCCCGCCGTGGGGCTGGAACCCTTGAACCGTGAGATCATGACCTGAGCTGAAATCAAGAGTCAGACACTCAACCGAGTGGAGCCACCCAGGCGCCCCCCTGGATTTTTATTGCAAAGTCGGTTGCGGGTATTGAAATGCTTCAGCATGAGCCAGAGATCCGTGCGTTTGGATGGGATTTACATGGCCACACGCCCCACGTCACTGACCCACATACTGAACCTTGACATCATTCTAAGTGGGAGTCCCTCGGGGCCAATGTGACAAATCACCACCAACTGAGGGCTTAAAACCACACACATCGATTCTCTGACAGCTCTGGGGTCAGAAGTCCTAACGCCCAGGCCTGGGCAGGGCTGGTCCCCCCCCCCCCCCGGGGCCCCAGGGCCACCCCCGCCTCGGGGGCCTTGCCTTGTTCCCCTTTTACCAGGTGAGGTGACACATTCACACATTCCAGAACTAGGACGAGGATGTTGAGGGGGAGGTTGTTAATCAGCCAACTATACTCTACACATCCTTTTTAAAAATCAGAGACCCTGAGATTCCCTGGCGCCCCCAGATATCGGACCTCGCCACACTGATCTCACCAGGACATGAAGCCTGGGCTCGCCATCAGGCACCACATCCTCTGCTGTCCTTACCAGCAGCTCAGCTCACCACCTCCACGAGGCCCTCCCTGATATGCCTCTTTCCTACCCTGCAGTCTGGGGGTCCCTCGCCTCTCACAGGCCCCCACAGTCTGATTTCCGTCTTGGTCCCCAGCAAGCCCAGCCCGGGGTGGGGGGCTGCCTTGAGCACCTGTGCTGATCGGGAGCTCTCCTCCACCGTGCTCTTCCGACAGAGGAGCTTCCTCCCTCACAGACAACATTTGCAGGTGCGCCCAGAGTAGACAGAAAGGAAAACATGACATTTGCGACACACGGGCGGTGTCTCGGGACATCTGTGGCTGTCACAACTGAAGGGGTTCCCGGCATCGAGTGGTGGGGACCGGGGGTATGCTCAACCCCCTCCCCCGCCAGTGCCTGGGACACCCCCAGGCGTGACCGGCCCTACTGTACATAGTGGGAATCAATTTCTGCCTCAGCACCTGAATACCGCGGGCGGTGACCAAGATCTGACAGCAAGCAAGCCTTTTCGTGCCAGATGAGATCTGGGAGGATGTTGTGACCCAGCCTCAGTGTTTGCAATCTTGGTGGAGGCAGGCGCCTGGGTCCCCTCCCCCACCACAGTCAGTGAGGCTGATGAACATGTTCCTCATCCCGGGCGCCCCTACCTCCCTGACAGCATGCAGAGGGAGCTGTCCCCCAGATCCAGACCCGAGAGGGTGAGTGACACTGCTCCCATATCCCCGCCACGGCACTGGGAGGCCTTAGGATGCCCTGCCCTCTGCGGCTACTCTCCCTGGCCTGTCCTACCCCACCCCACACGTACCCCCTTTTCTCTCCAACCTCCGCTCTTTTGCAAGGTGCTGCAACTTGTTTTTTAAGAGCTTATGCCCCCCACCCCCCGCCCCGGCTTTCCACCCACAACGATTCCGAATTAGAAGAGTGCTTTGGCCAGCAAGGGCACAAAACCTGTCAATGAAGAAGGGGCCCTCCCCACCTGGGTGTTGGGTCTCTCCTCCTGCTGGTTCCCTGTGGGCTGAAGAGGGCTGAATCTTATTCCCCAGACTCTGCCCCGGCACAAGACAGTCACCCATGGGGCTGAGGCTCAACTGTGACCTCTGTCACTTTCTGGCCTCAGGCATGGGGAGTAAACACCATGTGACCCAGTGACCAGTGGCAGGTCTGGATTCCGGACTCTTGGCCCAGAATCACTCGTCCGTGCAAAACACTGGAGAGCCATCAAGAGACCAAAAAAAAAGAAAGGAAGAAAAAAGATTTCAAAGCTCAGGGGCTCTTCTGGCCAAGAAAACAGGACCTTCGTTAGAACAAAGATACTAACCCTACAAATAGTGAGAATATTGAAGCAGCACCCCAGGGTGGGTGGGAGGGAGCCCTCACAACCAAAGCATGCGTCTCTGCATAACAATCGAAAACGATTAGAAAGTTCACTATCAGCAATCCACCTGCTTTTAATTTTCACTGGGAGCTGCAACTCTAAGCGAAGTCATGGCTTAGATATTCTTTCCCAGGAAAATTCTTTGGTTGGCCCACTACATGCAATCCTTAACAGTTTAGAGGGAGTCTTGATGATGCCTGGAGGGAAGCTGTAAATTGGACATTGTTTTCCTTGGGAGTTACTGTATAACAGTGCGATGGGCATGGAAGGGAATTCGGAGACACACACGGGGTTCAGCGTACGTGCTCTGGAGAGTGAGCTCCTGCTGGTCTGGCAATCATTCAAGGTCCCTTTGGGGACAAGTTTGTGGCTCTAACCCAAATGGACATAGTAGAATGAAATTAAAACGAGAGGCAGGAATTGTGAAGACAAAAACCAAATAGGAGCGGCTTCAATGCTACGTAACCCTTCGTTCGGAGCCTCTATGTAAATGTGCCGGAAACCCCAGACCATGAAACAAAGCAGGACCTGCAGAAATCAGCATTTTCTCTGATAAGTCCCAGAGTTAGCTCGCAGAGAGTGCGCTCCTGCATTTAAGCGCGGGGAGTGGCACTTCTGCCCGCGGCGGGTCTGGTGCACGCGTCAAACGATGAGTTTCCCCGCGGGGACGCCCAGCATCGGAGCTCCCGAGGGTAAGGCTCCGTCCGAGTCCGCCAAATGCGTCTCTAACCCTGAAGCTTCGCTTTCTAATTGCAGCCGTCTTAAAACGTGAAACACGAAAGCAGAAAACCCTCGTTAGGCCCGATCCTTTCGGGGTGATTCCTGCAGGTAATCCTGCCCGGGGGGTGGCTCTGGGACCCCTCCCGCAAATACCGGGGGCCTCTGTCGTCGCCCCGTGCCGGCCGGGGGAGGGGCCCCGCTGAGGGAAGGGACGAGGAACGGGGAACCAGGGCGGAGACGCAGCCTCCCGCCTCCCGAAGTCGCACTGAGCGAGGTGCCCCGCCCCCAGGCCCAGCTGACGCGGGCGGGGGGGACGCGCAATGCGTTCTCCTGGCCACGGCGCCCCGCCCCCCGAGAGCCCGCAGAGCGTCGTCAGGAGCGGGGGCAGGGCCCAAGGCGGCCCCGCCCCAACCCCGGCCTCCCGCCAATCAGACGCCAAGAGGGGCGGGCACGCCTACGTTTCCGGGGGCCCCCGTGGCCCCGCCCCCTCGCGCGGCCGCGCTCCAGACGGCGAGGGGGGCGTGGCCCGGACACAGCGCCTATAAAGGCGGGAGGCGGCGGCGGCGCCATTTTGCGAACGGCGAGCAGCGGCGGCGGCGCGGAGAAGCGCAGCGGAGGTTTTCTGGTTTCGGACCCCAGCGGCCGGATGGTGAAATCCTCCCTGCAGCGGATCCTCAACAGCCACTGCTTCGCCAGAGAGAAGGAGGGGGATAAACCCAGCGCCACCGTCCACGCCAGCCGCACCATGCCGCTCCTCAGCCTGCACAGCCGCGGCGGCCGCAGCAGCGAGAGGTGAGCGCCCCGCCCCCGCCCGAAGCTTCCAGAAGCGCGGCCGCGCAGGCCCGCGGGGCGCCGGCCACGGAAGTCCGGGGAGCCCGAGGTCCGCCCCTTTGTCGAGGCCATAATCGCGGCGGGGGCGGGGCGGGTGCCCACTGTCCTCCTCCCCCCCCCCTCCCCGCTACTCCCGGCGGCCCCTAGGGGTTCCCGGGGCCCGGCGGCGATCGGATTTGGGGGGCGCGAGAGTCCCTGGGACGCGGGGCGCTGTGCGCTGATC